TTTAAGGTTGGCTTTGAGCCCATCTGGGACGATGTTTCACTACTTCAGTCCTTTTACAGGTGGCTTTATATGTGTGATGATGTGGAGAACAAATATATTTTCTTTTTAAATCTTTTTACTGCCTTGTACTGAAACAGTATCCCTTTAAAATTGGCTGGGGCTTTCTTGTGAGCTTTTACCTTGAGGCTTTTTATCACAGGCTTGAGACATTCTTGTAATAAACAAAGTAGCAAAGTTTATTTATAGCTTCTGGCTCCAACGCTTATGGTTACATTTGTGTGTTCTGTTACAGTCTTGAGTCTTACATTCAATATCATCCACTTGGTTAACTTTTCCCATCAAACTTCAACTGTTTCACATCAACAAATATGTTACTTTCTCATACACTCTTGACAGAACTATATTCTCTTTAAACAACACTGACACTTCTTTCTTTTCCTTAAAACTTGAGCTCCATTTTCCTAACTGCTTTTCTCTCACAGAACTGTACCTCAAAAACAGTAATCCCTAACTGAACCTCTTCTGACTCTCTAACTGCCTATTTTTAAACTTAACTCCGCCCCTTTTGGAATGTTCAGGTCTCTTCTCCCAACTTCCATTCTGTCTCAGTGGCCTTCTGAAATCCTGGCCTACACTCATCTGCATACGACCAATAGGCTGCACGTATGCAAATTAATCTTGCCTCTACTGTTGCTACCCTATTTCTGCCAATTCTACCACATTGCAACATAGAGCTATACATCAAAAATTTAACATAGATCAACAAATTCGTTATACCATCTTTAAATCTCTTTTCCTGAGTTTGGAGTAGAGCAACTGCTTTGGGAGATGGTAGTCGGGCATCCGGACAACGTGGCTGGTCCAGCCGAGTTGATGGTGGAGGACCATCGCTTCAATGCTGGTTGGTGGATAATATTTATTTATTATTTATTTTTTTTTTACTTCACTTGTATACCGCTATTCTCAGCCCTTAGGCGACTCATAGCGGTTAACAACAATAATAGCAAAAATTCAATGCAGCATAACAAGGTATTTAAAAACAATTAATACAATAGCAGACTAAGCAATTAAACAACAATAAACATTCATTCATTGGCGTCTCACAACTAGAATCATGATCCAAACTCGTCGTCCGTAGTTCCATTTCCTAAAATTCATTGCACTGTCTATTCAAACGCCTGTTCAAATAACCAGGTTTTCACTTTTCTCCGAAATACCATCAATGAGGGAGCCGATCTAATGTCCGTGGGAAGGGCGTTCCACAGCCGAGGGGCCACCACCGAGAAGGCCCTGTCTCTCGTCCCCGCCAGCCGTGCCTGTGTTGCAGGCGGGATCGAGAGCAGGGCCTCCCCGGAAGACCTCAAAGTCCTAGTGGGTTCGTAGGCTTGTTTATAATAGTTTTATAAACAAGCACCTTGGTATCCCTATGGATGTCCTGGTCCTCAAACACTCTGTGCTTCATTTGTAAAAATGCTGCACTCGCAGAGCTCAGGCGGTGTTGTATTTCAGTGTCAATGTTGACTTACTCTGTGATACTAGTCACAGGATAAGAAAAAATCTACCCCACTTAAAACAAGATTTTTTTCTCTCCTTCCTTTGTATAGTCTTTTCATCAGTTTCTTTTTTTCCTTAAGATTTGCTGTCATTTTTCACTTTCTGAAGAAAAGGAACTGCTTGTAATGTCTACTCAATATCATTGAGCAAATTAGCCCAACATTGGCAGCCAAGTGCCTATTATAGTTCTTAATCCCCCAGCATGGTGCATATCAAATATTAATTCACAGCTGCTTCCATATAAACATTCCACATCTCAAGGATTATCCTGGGGTTTCTAAGAATCAGCCAACCCAACTATTGCTTTGCCTGTGTTTGCCTTACAATTTCTCTTTATTAAAAATGCACCTAATGGGTCAACCCACCCTCCTGCAGAAGGACATAAAGATGATCAGCATTTTGATGGATTTGTATTGATTCAAAAGTCCTTGATTTCTTTCATTAGGTGACAAGTTTGTTTCTTGCACCACTTCTCTTTCCAGTTATGAAATAGGTTTCCTTTCATTGTTGCTACCTGAGGCACAAGATGATTATATCTTGGTTATTTGCGTAGTCACGTCTACTTTCTCCTTTCCTTGGCCTTCTTGATAACACTGTCACAGCAATAAAAAATTTCTCCTTTAATCTTTGCACCTAGATCTACCACCATAATCAGTGATATACAAATCCATATTCAATATTTCATTTCATGCAGGGTAAATTTGTCCGTTTTTCCTTCTTTCCATAAATGTTTTGACCTTTAGCAATTGACCTAATGGGGCTGATTAATGCTATCAGTTAAAGCCACCTATGTCGCTTGTTCCGTCTCCCAGGAGCCTGGTGCCTTACCTTTCAGCTGCTTGAAGCTGCTTCCCTTTGCATTTCTCTCAGGGCTGCTGCAGCTTTGCAAAGCCCTAAAAGGTTAGCAGTATCAGAGTCTGCAAAGCCAGCCTGCAGGCCTCTTTGCAACTATTGGCCTAGAGAGCAGCTCTTTGGGTTTAGAGCCCGTCCTTTCTCCCAGGGAAGGGATCTCCATTTTAGAATCTCCCCTGCCTTTTCAGTCTAAAGGAAGAATTCAGATGTGCTGGTGGCCAGATCAGGATAGCTATGAGAAACCATTGCAAGTACTATTGAGATACTGAGCTGTTGAGAAATAGATAGAAAGATAAAGATAGTTATTGAGATATAGAAAGAACTATTGAGCTATTGAGTTAATATAGATAGATATTCAATATTGAGTTATAGAGAACTATTGAGCTATATTGAGTTAGATAGATAGTTTTGAGCATTTGCCTCCAAAGCTAACTTTGAGCAATAGATAGGGAAAAAACCTGGGTTTTTTTCTGACCATAGGAGCTCAAGGTTAGGGTAAAGGGATTCCAGAATTCCTTCTACCTTTTGGAAAAGGGTACCTCAATAACTGAATGAAAGAAAGCTCATCTCTATGCTTTACCAATTGACTGTTTGTAACTTTGATAAGCTGTGCCAAGTCTACAAAGACTGGAAATAAATGTTCTGTTTGCTGTTCCATACTTGAAGTGGACTCAGTTACTCAGAAAGTTTGAGCTTTTAAAAAAAGATCCCAGCAGTCCGCCCAGACAAAGAGAGCAGCACATTGCAGTCTTATTTTTAAGGCGTCTGAATGTGACGGCACATCGCTAAATTAATTCTGGTCTTTGATCTAATATATTCCAGCATATAAGACGACTGGGCGTATAAGACGACTGCCAACTTTTCCAGTTAAAATATAGACTTTGGGATATACTCGCCGTATAAAACTACTTCTCTTCCAACACACACCAAATAAAAAATGTAAAAGCATCAGATTTTATTTCAGTATGGTAATTTTCCTATTACTGTACCTACTTCTCTGCCTCTCAGATCACGCAGATGCACACCTGCACCGCTTCACTGCAGTCTTCAGAAGCGAGATCTGAGAGGCAGAGGAGGAGGTACGATAATAGGATACAAGGGCGGGCCAGACAGGTAAAAGAGGTGTGTTTTTCTGGGCCCAGAGCCACTCTATCCCTTTTTTCCATATTCCGGGTGCTCCGGATGCCTGCAGCTTGCTTCGCCCTTCACTTACCCCTTCCCTGTGAGGCACCCCTTCACCTCATCATCGGAAACGCATTAAGTCCACGAATCCTGATGAATGGATTTTCTTCTGCCGTACTTGTACAGCGTCACCCTTAATGTTTTCATACAGTCGCTGCATACGGCAGGGATGCGGCCACTGCCCTTTTTGAGCTCCCCCCACAATATGCAGCAACCACAGATTCTCCAATCCGGATTGGAAGTTTCAGCACCCACTCTATAAGATGACTCCTGGCATATAAGACTACTCCCACATATAAGACGACTCACATGCATAAAGCTACTCCAGCGTATAAGATTACTCCCGTGTATGACTCCCACATATAAGATGACCCCTGACTTTTGAGATTTTCTTGGGTTAAAAAGTAGTCTTAAACACCAGAATATATGGTACATAATAGTTTTTTGTTGTTGCTGCTACTTGTTGTCAAGTCATCTTTGATTTATAGTGGCTCTATGAATAAAAGACCTTCATGAGATGTTGTTCAAGTCTTGCAGATTAGGGGCATAGCTTCACTGACTGAATCAATCAAACTCGAATTCTGTTTCATTCTATTCCTACTTCCTTCCACTTTGTCAGGGATTATTATCATCCAGCCACCCCCCCCCCGCCCCCACTCTCTTCACTAGTGCCTTGTAACTGTTTGACGTATTTTGCCTGGCTCCTTAGGTGAAGCCCGTCTCATTTGGGAAATCCTACCAGAAGCGAAGTGATAATGCTGCCATTAGTATAACCCAATGGTTCCTGACCTATTTTTTGACCAGGGACCACCTTGACGAGGAACCACTCTCCAACATGAAACCATTGGGTTTGCTCTGTGCCATGCCTGTGACCAATGAGGGTGTGTCTGGGCTCAGGCCGGTGGCGGGCGTATTCTGGATGGTAGTGGTGCAGTTGCCAAGGAGAACCATCGCCATAACTGCTCCACCCACTTGGCAGATGCCCGCAACCATCCTGGTCCAGGTGCACCCTCATTGGCCGAGGCCCTGGAAGTCCTGCCCCCCCCCCAAAGTCCCCATCTGGAATACCCCACCACCACCACCACTGGCTGTCCTTTATTTTCAAACAGCAACGTTTGGTCAAGTCAGGGATTATTGTTCATTCAATGAAATATCCTGAATTGGAAGTGTTGACACTCAAAACAATTGCAGGGAGTTTATTGTGTGATCAATACCCTGGTGTCCTCCACACCACCACGCACACTTGTGGACTTTTCTGCATAGAGTAACATTTGCTAAATCGTACACATGAATACAGGTGTAAATGGTGATCATTATCTGCGATTGAGTATTTCAGAGTAAAACAAATAGATGTGCTCTCCATCTGCCACTCATGGCAAAAATGCATGACCTTTCCCCACTTTCTTTTGCAGAGGAATTGATACGTTAGAACGGTTGGGTTGAAAAGAAGGAAAAAGAAGACGGGGAGACAGACATGAAACCTCTCTTCAGGCAGCAGAGAGATAGGGGTGCGGCACTGACTGAGGTAAGTGCAACTTTTGCAGCTCGTACATTTGATCAATGTGGTGATTTCCTGTGATGTTAGAGTTGAAGTCAGGTATTCTTTTTATTAAGTACTAGCCGTCCCCTGCCACGCGTTGCTATGGCCCAGTCTGGTGATCTGGAAAATGAAGTAATGAGAAAGTGTTGGTTTCTAATATATGTAATTTCTTTATACTTGTGGGTAAACAGTATTTCTTGCTGTTTCTTTGTCAGTGTTGATGTGGAGACTGCCTGGTTTGCCTACTCTGGAACATGCAACATAGAATTGTCCTTCTTTAGGGGTCCTTTTCAAGTCTGTGATACTATATCTGTGTGTGTGTGAATCATATATATCAATATCTATGGCTGGATGGCTCTTTGTCAGGAGGGCTTTGATTATGTTTTCTTGCCCTGCTGAAGGGAGTTCGACTGGGTGGCCTTGAGTATTTTCTGTTGGTAATAGGGGTTCTGTGTGGGAAGTTTGCCCCAATTTTGTCATTGGTGGAGTTCAGAATGCTCTTTAATTGTAGGTGAACTATAAATTCCAGTAACTACAGCTCCCTAATGTCAAGGTCTATTTTCCCCAAACTCAATTTGGGCACATGGAATATTTGTGCCAAGTGTGGTCCGGATCCATCATTGTTTGAGTCCACAGCACTCTCTGGATGTAGGTGAACCACATCTCCCAAACTCAAGGTCAATGCCCATCAATGCCCATGTTGGTCATGGGAGTCCTGTGTGCCACATTTGGTTCAATTCCAGCATTGGTGGAATTCAGAATGCTCTGATTGTAGGTGAACTATAAGTCCCAGCAACTACAACTCCCAAATGACAAAATCAATTTTTTGAGTGATGGTCACTCCTTGGGTAGGTAGTTGTCTAGTGTCCAAATTTGGTGTCAATTCGTACAGTGGTTTTTGAGTTATGTTAATCCCACAAAGGAACATTACATTTTTATTTATATAGACTAGCTGTACCCACCACGTGTTGCTGTGGCCAGCCTTCCCTCCATATTTCTCCCCTTCTTTCCCTCCTTCCTTTGCTCCCTCTTTCCTTCCTTCCTTTGCTTTTTCCTTCCATCCTTCCTTCTCTGCTTCCTTTTTTCCCCACCTCTTTCTCTCTTTTCCCTCCTTCCTTCGCTCCCTCCCCCTTCCTTCCCTTTTTTCTTTCTTTCTGTCCTTCCTTCCTTCTCTACCTCTTTTCTTCTTTCCCCCTTTTTCTTTTCCTACTTCTTTCTCTCTTTCCTTCCTTTGCTCTTTGCTTCCATGCTTCCTTCTCTCTTTTCTTCTTTCTTGCCCTCCCTCTTTCTCTTCTTCTTTCTTTTTTCTTTCTGTCTTTCTTCCTTCTCTACCTCTTTCCGTACTTCCGTCATTCTTTGCTTCCATGCTTCCTTCTCTCTTTTCTTCTTTCTTTTCCTCCCTCCTTCTCTCTTCTCTCCCTCTTTCTCTCTTTTCTTTCTCTCCTTCCTTCCTTTCCTTCCTTCCTTCCTTCCTTCCTTCCTTCCTTCCTTCCTTCTCTACCTCTTTCCTTCCTTCCTTTGCTTTTTCCTTCCATCCTTCCTTCTCTCTTTCCTTCTTTCTTCCCACCTCTTTCTCTCCTTTCCCTCTTTCCCTCCCCCTTCCTTCCTTTTTCTTTCCTTTTGTCCTTCCTTCCTTCTCTACCTCTTTTCTTCCTTCCCCCTTTTTCTTTTCCTACTTCTTTCTCTCTTTCCTTCCTTTGCTCTTTGCTTCCATGCTTCCTTCTCTCTTTTCTTCTTTCTTGCCCTCCCTCTTTCTCTTCTTCTTTCTTTTTTCTTTCTACCTTTCTTCCTTCTCTACCTCTTTCTCTCCTTCCTTCACTCTTTGCTTCCATGTTTCCTTCTCTCTTTCCTTCTTTCTTTCCCTCCCTCATCCTTTTTTCCTTTCTTTCTTTCTCCCCTTCCTTCCTTCTTTTCCTTCCTTCCTCCTTCCTTCTTCCTTCCTTCTCTTCCTTCCTTCCTTCCCTCCCTCCCTCCCTCCTCTCCCTCCCTCCCTCCCTCTCCTCTTCCTTTTTTTTTTCTGTATCGTCATTAGCTTTTTATCATTTAGCTTTTTTGGGTGTTTAAGTCCTTTCAGCTGTTTTTTGGGGGGGGGTATGAGTGATGTATATGTGTGTGTGCTTGCGTATATATGTGTGTGTGTGTGTCTGTATGTGCTTGTGTATATGTATATGAATGTATGTGTATATATATGGTTTATTGTGGGGGGCTTTGTGCAGGTTTTGTGTGTGTGTTTAGAGGTGATGGTCACTCGTTGGTCTGTTAGGGGTATAGTGTCCAAATTTCGTGTCAATTCATCCATTGGTTTTTGAGTTATGTTAATCCCACAAACGAACATTGCATTTTAATTTATATAGATGGCTGTTCCCGACTGGATTAGAAGAAAACTGCAAATTCTTTCCACTACTGCAGCTACCAGCTGTGTTAAGAGCCCATAACTTCTGGTCCTGTTTGTGTTTCCAAGGGCAACATATCAATGTTATCCTCTAACTATTCCTGTGAGCAACAAGGTGGCGGTAGCCGACCTCTTATCTGTCAGGCTGGAGTAATAACGCTCGAAGAGGCCTGAGATGGTTGGTTGGGGCTGTTGAAAGGTGGCTGGCTTAGCCTGTATCACTTGGCATTCCACTATGACAACTTCAGGTCCCATCCATGCCTCATGATGTGAGATTGATGAGTGTTCATAGATTGGTATGGCTTAAAGGAGAACAAATGTGTTGCGGCTGAGGTTGCACAAAAATGTGTTGGCTAAAGTTTCCAAGAGAGGAGATTCCATCTGAACATGAGGAAGAACTTCCTGACTGTGAGAGCCGTTCAGCAGTGGAACTCTCTGCCCCGGAGTGTGGTGGAGGCTCCTTCTTTGGAAGCTTTTAAACGGGCTGGATGGCCATCTGTCAGGGGTGATTTGAATGCAATATTCCTGCTTCTTGGCAGGGGGTTGGACTGGATGGCCCATGAGGTCTCTTCCAACTCTTTGATTCTATGATTCTATAAGTGTAAGAACTAGAATATTGTAAGGTCTTACTTTGGGAGTGCTGGACCTGACTTAAATCTGAGTTTTCTGCTTCTCTGTGTCAGCATCAATGGCGGAAGTCTCACCTCTTCCAACAGCTAATGACAGGAATCGTGTAGGCTGTGGTTTGGGGTCTGGCAGCAGAGTTTGATTAATAGACTCTCTGTGGTTAGTTCAGTTTAGGACAAGAGGGGTTTTATGCCTGCTGAGGCAGAGAAAAGAACAGCGTGGGAGGAAACCCTTTGGACCAGGGTGGGGAAGAGGGACAGAAAGGTCTCAAAGAACACATGAAGGGAAAGTGGCCATTGGGAAGTCATGGCTTGTTAGCTGTGGTTGGCCCCACATTTACAGGCCGGCGATAAATCGATCCAGTACAGGGTGAAGCCCATAATAATAAGTAAGAGAACTGGAATACAAATAAAGATAAATTCTTCACATATAGAATCATAGAATCATAAAGTTGGAAGAGACCTCATGGGCAAACTAGTCCAACCTCCTGCCGAGAAGCAGGAAAATTGCATTCAAAGCACCCCCGACAGATGGCCATCCAGCCTCTGTTTAAAAGCTTCCAAAGAAGGAGTCTCCACGTCCATAGGTGGCTGTGGAGCCCTATTCTTGATCTGCATCGTCTCCCACAGTGAGGGCGTTGGTTTCCAGGTGGAAGGGGGTCCCAGTCAGGGTTGGCTTGACGTGCCTTCCTCTTGGCACATTTATTTATTTTATTTACTTTGCTTATATACCGCTGTATCTCAAGCCCGAAGGTGACTCACGGCGGTTCACAAACAGTAAAAACAGTAGAAACAGCAGTGGTTCCATACAACATATAACAATTGACTTAACACATTATCCATAAATTACCAATAAGCAGTTACAATGCACAATTATTACAAAAAACAACCGTACCCAATCTTCTCATCATCCAAGCGTAGTCCAGGTTCATCGTCCCTTGTTCCATTCCTATGTTCCATTACCAGATTGCACTAAATTACTCAAACGCCTGCACAAACATCCAGGTCTTCACCTTTTACATTTCACATTTCTCTCTTTTGCCTCTTCAAATTCTGCAGCACTGCTGGTCACAGCTGACCTCCAGCAGGAGCGCTTAAGGGCCAGGGCTTCCCAGTTCCCAATTTCTATGCCAGAGCTTTTAAGGTTGGCTTTGAGCCCATCTTTAAATCTCTTTTCCTGCCCACCAACATTCTGTTTTCCATTCTTTAGTTCGGAGTAGAGCAACTGCTTTGGGAGACGGTGGTCAGGCATTCAGACAATGTGGCCCGTCCAGCGGAGTTGATGGTGGAGGACCATTGCTTCAATGCTTGTGGTCTTTGCTTCTTCCAGCACACTGATATTTGTCCGCTTGTCTTCCCAAGAGGTTTGCAGGATTTTCCGGAGGCAGCACTGATGGAATCGTTCCAGGAGTTGCATGTGGCGTTTGTAGACAGTCCACGTTTCGCAGGAATATAGCAGAGTTGGGGGGGGGGGGAGGGGCAATTGCTTTATAAACAAGCACCTTGGTATCCCTGCGGATGACCCAGTCCTCAAACACTCTCTGCTTCATTCGGGAAAAATTGCTGCACTCGCAGAGCTCAGGCGGTGTTGAATTTCAGTATCAATGTTGACTGGTGGAGAGGTGGCTGCCAAGGTAGCGGAAATGGTCAACATTTTCTAATGTTACAGTATTAAGCTGTATCTCTGGCATTGGAGAGGGATTGGCTGGTGACTGCTGGAAGAGGCCTCCCAGTTATCCAAGTACTATATATGTTACAGTATTTTAGACCTGGAACTATTTTTTTTTAACAGAGAATCCTTTTTAGAATACTATTAGTTCTCATTGAAAAATTCTAAGTTTATATAAATACCACAAAACGTTATCAACAATGTTTAAAAGGGGACATGTTCATGTTTTTTTAATCTTATCTGTGACAAGCTGGAGACCAGCTATAAATGAACAGTGTTTAAACTGTAGGATAAAACC